CTCCTAATGTTCTCAGTTCAACCGCCTGGGCCACCAAGAGCCCCCAGGGGGATCAGGCCCCCGGACCATCTCGTCCAGCCTTCTGGGCAACCTGGCCAGATTCACTCGGGGAGCTCAGAAGCCTGGAAGAGGGCAGGAGCCCCCTTCTCTGTCGCTCTCCAGCAACCGCCATTTGGAGTCACTTGTGCTCCTGGGATTCAGGAGGTGGAAAACAGCCCCCCGTGTTGTAGCCATGGAGACCCTGATCCTCCACGAAGCCCTCCAGACCCCCTTCCGATCCCTCCAAATTGGCTGCCATCCCCACGCCTGCTGGTAGCGAATTCCACTGCTGAGTGCTGAGAGACAGGAAATTTCTCCCCTCTTCTCCATGTTCTCTGTGCCATGCATGAATTTAGACTTTTTCTGTCCTTTCTGTCCTTCATTCCGAGTTGAAGAAACCCAGTTACTGGAGTCTCTCCTCGTCGCCGCTCCCTAATTGTGCTAGTTGTCCCCCTCTGCACCCTTCCTGGCTCTGCATCCTCCTGTTTAAGTCTCGAGGGGAAACCTCCTGGGAGAATTCCCGCCGGGGCCCTTTTTCGATTGGAAAATGTGGGCAGAAAAGTTTGGCAGCCTTAGAAGATGTCAGCAGAGCCCTGGAGCTGGATCGAGCCCTTGGCCCACCTGGAACGCCTTTGGGTCTCCCAGCAAGTGGCTGGGCTGGAAAAGGGCAGACCGCCCCAGTGGCTTCCTGGCAAGCAGTACAGTATTTAAAACCCAGAGCCTGCTAGGTCACTAGTGCTGCACACGTGGCCTTGAGTTCGGGGAGGAAAGTCTGGATCCCAAGCTGACAAATTCAAAATAGGTAGGGCCAGGCACGGGGCAGTGTTTTCTCGTGCCAAGCTGCTTTGAGACACAGAACTGTTTTCACCAGTTTCCACCTCAAAGCAGCAGGAAGTTTTCTGCCACAGTGGTCTGAGGGGATGTGGGAGGCCCACCCATCAGCCATAGGAAGCTCAGATGGTTGCAGGAAGACAGGGGAAGGGGCTGCCGCGCGATGCGTGAGGCCTCCGAACAGAGTCTAACCCTGCCCTGAGCGGGGAATTGGGCTGGGCGGCCTTTGAGTTCCCTTCCAGCTCTGCTAGGACCAGCTGCAGAAGTGACCAGTGGGAGGAACAGGGACGCGGGACAGGAAGAGCAGCAGCAGCCCTAAACTGGTTACTGGGCGGGAGGGTGCAGCTCTGTCCCTGGCAGCTGTTGCAAAAGGGCCTGGAAACCACGCAGAGGCTGAATAAATGACGCTCTGCGCTGAGAGAGTTTTATCACCACGTGCTTCAATGTGGCCACTGCACGCACCCCTCCCATAGGTCAGCACCGGATGGGGCGGGCTTCCGCAGCGCTTTGGACCACGTATGCCCACACCAGACCAAGGCTGGTGTTAAGACTAACCAGACATTTATTGTGCTATGCGCTACTACTGTGCAAACGCAGCTACCAGCCCTTTTCTGGAGCACAACCGGAGTAGTATGGCTGAACTTCGCTAGTCCCCCGTGCTCTGGTGCAGCTTGTGGTTTCACAGGTAACCAACGTGTTTCCAAGGGATTGGGGGCCTCTCTTGAAATATGCCTTCCCCTTTTCAGACAGAGTACTTGCACAAAAACCGTTGCAGGTGTAGGCAGCATTTTGTGGCTAAAGTAGATACACTACCCTTTTTTTTTTTTTTTCCCCTCAGTGGATTGTGTCTAGTAACACAATGACGGGGTGAAAATTCTCCTTTTTCAGATGGTGCAGAAGAGCTGTGTTCAAATTAAGCTGAATGCATCTCTTTTGCATGGGGGGGGGCAATATTTGCTCTGAAATTTGCCGGTTTAAATCTGAAGAATGTGTTGGAATTTGCTTGTAGGCTTGGATCCTTCATGCATTAAATACAGAACTATTTACACCGATTTGCACCTGCTCCACTTTTCCTGGGGCGGTAGATCCCTGCTCCTGCCAGAAAGGTGACTCGGGCCCAGTCGCTCGTCCATGCTTGGAACACGTGCAAACGCAGCCTTCGCACGGACCCCATCTAGGGGTTGGTACAGCTGAATGACTGAAACGCTGCCGGTTCAGCAAGAGAAATTTCTGGGCAAAAGATCACCATATGTCACTAACCCCCAGCAAATCCTTGCCAGATCATTCTTGGGAGTGACTTTAACACTTGTTCCCAGATTAGCCGATCACTTTCCTTACAGCAATGACCAAAGCAATTCGGGTTTTTTTAAATTACATTTCTTCCCTAGTTGACCAGAGGGAGCGTTTCCTGCACACACCCACGCACGTCCCGGGAGGAGAGTTGGCCTCTCCTACGAAGGCCACGTCATACGAAATTTAGTCAATAATAGCTCACGTTTTAAAAGGAAAGCCACCCGGAAGCGGTGCCCGTGGTTCTCCGCTGATGGGTGTTTTAGCCAGCAGTGGCACTCCTGAGGGTCTCCCATCCCTGAGGCAGGGTCTGCCTTAGCCGGTGGGCTGGGGGCTTCCCAAGAAAGCCCCGCGGTTCTTATGGGGAAGCGGGCCGGCCGGGCCTCCCTCTCTAGCTGCAGCACAAACGGCGCCTCGCTTCGCTTCTCTCCGCTCGCCACGCAGCCACGTCCACATCGTGTGTGTGTGTTTGTGGTTTGGTTCCATCAAACGCTTAAAGCACTAATAATGTAATGTATATTTTGAAAGAAAAACTATTTAAGGATTAAAAAAAAGTTGCTGTTCAACACATGGCTGCTGTCTGTTCTTCTGCAACATCATACGGCCATCCTAAGAATGGTCTCCAAGGCAGGAGAGGTGTTTTTCTTTTCATTCTGGCTGGGCCTGATGCCAGTCGGCCACGGAGGAAACGAAGCTTCCCCAACAGCCAGGAGAACTAAGCCGTATCTGTTGGATATCCACCTTTCCTCAGAGGGAAAAATAAGCACTGTAAGAAGATAAAGGCACCTCAATTCCCAAGGCTGCTTTAATCAGTCTTGTGTCTCTGCCTTTCCCCCAAATGTCTTTAAAATGCATCTGCAATTAACTTAATTAGGGGGTATGGAAGCCTACCTGAAAAAAATACACCAGGATTGTCGTTTGCATGTGTGTTTAAGAGAAGGAAGGAAGGGTGTTTATTTTCCAATTACTTCCTGCCCCGAAGGAAAGAAGACTAAATAGCAGCGTTTGGCCTTTTGATGTTTCCAGGCAGCTGCTTCGTTCAGCCAACAGGTCTGTTACTTGCCGCTGCTGTTTCTCAAGTGTCTAAGGTAAAAATTCAGTCTTGAAACTGTAATCTCCTAGGTGGTGGATAACGCATATGCGCACACACACACACACACACTACTCCTGGCCATAAAAAGCACTGGTATGCAAAATGCAGAAAAGAAATAAGGAAGAGTGAAGCAAAGGAGGTATGACGTAAGGAAAAGGGAGCAAGCTACATCTAGCTTACGCCAGCCCCATTCACCAGACCTTTCTGTCCCTGCAAAGAGCTTTACTTCCTACGCCGCCTTCCATACCTCTCGACTCTCAGGATCCCCCGTGCCAATGTTCTCGGCCTTCCCCTCCCTCTGGACCCACCGGCGCTTATTCGTTCTGCCATCTGAGCCTCACTCCTCCTTTCCCCATGATCAAACCCTTCACTTTTGGAGTCAGTCCATATATATATATATGCAACTCGCATTCCCACGTAACAAAGCAGGCAGCAACAGGCTCTTATTCGCAGCCCTTTTCACTGCTGCTGACAAGCGTTCAATGCTTGTGGTAGACATTTCACCAGTTTTTCTCCCATGCGTACATTTTCTCCTTCAAACGTATTTTTTGAACAGCAAAAATCTGGCCTGCAAAAGCCCTGCCCAGCATAGAGCCACAGTACATTTCCTGCATTTTGCAGGAAAAAGACTTCCGGCCTTTTTCTGTGCAGAGTTCTGCCAGATACCTTCTCAGTCGCTCTTATACTGCTCTCCAAGCAGCAGTGGGGTTCACTCCTGCAACCTTTCCTTTGGAGAGGGCAACAGTAACAGCAACCTTCCAGTCGCCAGGTACAAGTACCGTTTTCACCCACATCAAACAAATCTTGCAGCCACTCCCTAAGCCAGGGTATCTCAACTTTGGCAACTTGAAGATGAGTGGACTACAACTCCCAGAATTCC